CACACATCCTCTCCAGCACTAGTTTTTGCTTTTTGATTAGTATATAGCCAACTACTGGGTATGAAGCGATACCTCATTGTGGTTTTGATTTGCTTTTCCTTGATGAGTAATGATGTTGAGCAGCTTTTCATGTGTTTATCAGCCATTTGTGTATTGTCTTTGGAGAAATGTCTGTTCAAATATTTTGCTCATTTTGTTTTTTGTTAATCCTCACCCAAGGATATTTTTCCCATTGATTTTTAGAGAGTGGAAGGGAGAGAGGAGGGTGAGAGACCCAAGAGATCGATGTGAGAGAGACATGGATTGGTTGCTTCCCAAAGGCGCCCCCACCTGGGTTGGGGATCAAACCGAAGTATGAGGTATATGCCCTTGACTGGGAATCAAATCCATGACCCTTTGGTCCCTGGGCTGATTAGCTCTAACCACTGAGCTAAACCAGCCAGGGCTATTTTGCTCATTTTTTATTGGGTTATCTTTTTGCTACTGAGTTGTAAGATTATTTAAAAAAATATTTTGGATGTCTCTTGTTAGGTATGTTATTTACAAATATTTTGTCATTCTTTGGGTTGCCCTTTCATTTTCTTGATGGTATCCAAGTTTTTAATTCTGATGAAGTTCAATATATCAGTTTTGTCTTTGGATGCTTTGTGCTGCTGTTGTATCTAGGAAAGCATTGCCTAAACCAAGGTCACAGATTTATTTCTTTTTTCTCTTAGGAGTCTCAGCTCTTAGATTTCAGTCTATGATCCACTTTGAGCTAAGTTTTGTTTGGTGTGAGATAGGCATTCAGATTCTTTCTTTTGCATGTGGATATCCAATTGTTCCATAATTGTTGAAAAGGCACTAGTATTTATATTTAAATTTTATTTATTGAGAACACAGATTGCAGAGAATAGTATACTGAACCTGCATGTACCCATGTATATCCAACTTTAGTAGTTATTATTCTGTCATTCTTCTTTCATTCAACCCTAATCTTTTTTCTTTTTCTTTCTGGAGTATTTTAAATACAATCCCATTATTTTTAACAGTTCTCCAGGTGGTTATAACATGCAGCCAATGTCAAGTTACTGTTGGAAGAGAATTATCCAAATCTTGTCACATAAATATATTTAGAAACCATTTTGAAATTCACTGTTCATTTAGAAGAGGGAGCTAAAGGTTACCCATTTAAAAATATTAAATATTGTAATACTTAAATCTAGTTGAAGATTCTGATCTGATCAAAATCATTGCCTTTCTTGGCTGTTAACTGGCTTTTCAAAATCAGGGAGTAAGTCATTCCCTTAGTCAGTTTTCTTCAACATGTAACTGCTATTGACAACCCATCAGTACTGCAGACTGTTCCCTGTTAGATGAATCACACTTCAACATATTATTGCTTCTGTGGCCCCTTTTCAGTTCCCTCTGCTGCCTAACTTCGTTTTGTCTTCTAGGTATATCCCTACCGCAGCTGCATTCGGCGGTTTGTGTATTGGCGCCCTGTCAGTGTTGGCTGACTTCTTAGGGGCCATTGGCTCTGGCACTGGAATTCTGCTCGCAGTCACGATTATTTATCAGTATTTTGAAATATTTGTTAAGGAACAGGCTGAAGTAGGTGGGATGGGTGCTTTGTTTTTCTAAATGTTCCAATACTTTTGTGTGAAGGGAAAACATTTTGACACATTGTTTTTGTCAAATAATGCTGACTCTCCATTTCTCCCCTCATTTTTTTTTTTTAAGTGCTAACTGTCCCATTTCTGAAATGGGCACCGAGCTAAACCTGTGTGCAGCATTAGTACCAGCTGCCTTAAAACTGAAGTTTACATTATTCGTTAGGAAATATACATGTAGTTTGCCTGTGATGCTGGAAACCAATGTACCTGCCTTGCCGTGTTCAGTTTTGACGGTGAGGTAATGTGGATCAGTTTTGCACACATTCAAAACACTCAGTATTTCCCCCACTTGTTTAAAAATAAACATAGTTCAAATTGCCACTTTCCAGTATTTTGGGCTGATCTCTATTTTAGATATAATTTTTATACTTTCTGTGTAGTGTCCATGTTCCAGCCCTCCCTCTTCATCCTTTCCCTTTTGTCCCTTCTCAAAGCAGCCACTTAGCCCAGATGGGCAAAGTGAAGCTTCTTCAAGCTTCTGTCATTAGAGAAACTGCTTATAACTACTGTTCATGTTTTCCATTCTTTCTTCCCAGTGACAGCACGGTTGGTGCTGTTTTTGCTGTATTGGCTATGCCTGTGAATTCCAAGTCACTTGAGAAAGCTCTTCCAAGATACTGTGCCCCAGTTGTGTTTTTCTTTTTTTTAAATCCCTAAAGCAGAGATCTAATTCTCAAGCAATGTCTGTAGTTCAGTGGGGGTGAACAATGAGTAATTCATGCTAGGAATCTGTGTACGTTGTTGTACTTTGTAGCAGCAACATGAGTGTAAACAGTAGACAATAAACTTTTATTTAATACAACTGTTTCAGTTGTGTTGGAAAAATAAAATCTGAAATTAAATGCTTTGTGTAGGTTTATTGTATTCATATAAAGTCTATCCCGAGATGCCTATTGCAAGAGGTCAAATGTAATTAGTTTAGTGCATAATCCTAAAATATTGAGGGACAGTGACCAACTTAAGGTTGCTCAGTTATGTCACTAACATTTGGAAGCAGGAAAACTGGTCTTAAATGATATCCCAGCCCCCATTTGAAATAGCAGTTCTTTATCAATAATTCATTTTTAGAGCATGTGTTTTATTGTTCAAAAAGAGAGCAGACTTAATTTTTGAAAAGCTTCCTTTTCAGAAGTATGGTTTTCCATCGTTGGAAGTGTATCTTACTTAGCTTCTGATCACAAAGCCAAATAACTTACAAGGGCAAGGCAGGACAGCAAGGATGGTTTGGGCTGAAGACCAGCCATAGAAATAGAGACCTGGTGTTATATCTGATTTTTTTTTTTCCCAAGAGAAGGTAAAAAATAAGGCTTTTATGGGAAACCTTCAAATTTTAAATTCTGACAAATTAACAGTGCCAGCCGATGAAAATGTTCAGACTACAAGTTCTCAAACTAATTTCCAAAGCATAGTCTTTGATGTTTATAATGTAAGTGGCATTAGGGTTATGTTCTAGGATTTAGCTGTCACTTCTACATTGCACTCTTAGGAGGAGTGAAAAACAGAAAGGACAATCGGGTTATGCATATCTCTTCATTAAGAGTTAAAAGTATGTTTCTCAGTTAAGAGTTAAAAGTATGTGGCTCAGGAAGAGCTGCTCTATTTGGAGAGACAGGTCTTAGCTAGAGTCTGTATTTTACATATGCCTTATTTCTTGATTTTGAAGTAGGGTAATAATAAGGGAAATTAGAGGACTTGGTCCTTGAGAGGGAAAAGGTTAGGATCTCTGGAGAATTATGATGCCCATGTTTAAAACATGATCTCACTCATGTGGAATCTAATGAACAAAATAAACTGATGAAGAAAAAAGATCCAGAAGACACAGAAGCACGAACAGACTGAAAAATCTCAGAGGGAAGGTGGGGGTGGGTGGATGGGTGGGAAGAGATCAACTAAAGAACGTGCATGCATGTGTATACACATAACCTATGGACACAGACAATAGGGTGGTGAAGGCCTGGGGCAGGGGGTGGGGGCGGGCTGGAAGAGGTCAATGGGGGAAAAAGGGGGGCATATATAATACTGTATTTTTAACAAAGATTTAAAAAATCTGTATCTGTAAGAAACAAAAAGGGGTGAGGGTATAGCACAAGGGAAGGCTACATTAGAGCAGGTAGTTGGGGCTTAATTTTCACAGTATATATTGGGAGAGTAGACTTGATCTATGCAGTTTTCTGATTCTATAATTCTATCCTTACGTATAATTTAATGGTCTTATATTTAGGTTCATCAAAGTATCTGGAAAAGAGAGTGAACCTGTAGACAGATAACTATATTGCAGCATTTTTGGCATTAGTACCCTGATTTTATCTGGTTCTGAGGGGCCTGGCTAAACCCCTGGGTCCAGAGCTCAAATCATGACTTAGGGCTGGCCAGTGAGAATCATCCTGAGACTTTTTCTGGGAGCTAAGCTGAAAAAACAGTGATCCTAGAGTTGTTGGAAACCATACAGTCAACCCAAGAGCCTTGGCTCAGGAGGTAAGGAGATGGCCCCGTAACCCTGGTAGACCTTTTGGATGACAGGCATTAGGCATGGCATGAACCAGAAACAATCCTGTTTTTTCCTTTAAAGTAGTTTATAATGGGTTTCTGGTACTTGTTAACCTTGCTGGCTGCACTCATGGTTGAATACCAAGACAATAATGCCCCAAACTATGTAAATCTTACTACCATGGATTTGGTGTTTTAGAACTTCAAGTTACTTTTTTGAGGTAAGGATAGGAAATGAGATTCTCAAATATGTCCACATGCTTTAGAGCAGCGGTCGCCAACCGGTGGTCCGTGGACCACTGGTGGTCCGTGAGGTCTGAAAGGTTGGCAACTGCTGCTTTAGAGGGAAGGGCCTTGTATTTTCATTAGCCTCTTAACTTTCTTATAGTGAATGAAATTAACCATTTTTCATTACTTAAGTAGTAGGTAGATATAATGACAATAGCTAAATGTAAACACTGGCCTATGAATGTTACTCTATGGGTTTTATATCCTTTGCTACACAGATTAATTCCATATAGCAGATAATTCAAATAGGAGTCCCTATATTGGTTTCCTTTAAATAATGTAATGGTTTCTTTTAAACAATATAATTTGTCTATACTCAGCTATAGAATTTTTTGTTGTTAATCCTCACCAGAGGATATTTTTTCCACTGATTTTTAAAGAGTGTGTAAGGGAGGGGGAAAGACAGAAAGAGGAAATCGATGTGACAAAGACACACGGATTGGTTACCTCCTGCAGGCAGGGCCTAGGGATCAGATTGAGCCTGCAATTGAGGTACAGCCTTGACAGGAACTGAACCCATGACCCTTCCGTTCCAGGGTCAACGCTCTAACCACTAAGCAAAATCAGGTATGCCATCGGCTATAGAATTTTATGTTGGGAGTTTGAGGTAAGAGTAGTTGACCTAATTTAGAATTCAGGTCTCTCTAACCCCTATTTCTTGGATTAGGTTAGATAACAGCTGAAGTTAAAAAAAATGGATTAAACATATTTGCATTTAGCATTTAAATGAAGGCAATAGCCTACCTATAATTATAATTCCATACCACCATATGCATTTTTTGTTGATCTTATTTTATGAAAAAGGTAATTTTACATTTCCATCAAACTTAGCTGAATACAAAGTCTTAGTGAAGGAGACCTTATGGTCTCATTTATAGAACAAAAACATGGCTACTCTCCTCTGGCCTCAAAATTTCAGGAAGGGCACTTCAAATGGCTTGGTATTTGCATGTTTCAGCGCCAGAGCATAGGAATAGACTCTAGCATCCACTGTCAGATGTTCTTCAGTTACCAGTGCTACAGGAAGCAAAGGAGAGAAGTTAGACAATGATGTTAATAAAAGATAATACCCCCCTTGTCACTCAATCAATATTTACTAGGCAATTACTATATACCAGTCCCTATGCTAGATGCTGGTAATACAGTGGTGAACAAGACATTTTTTGCCTTCAAAGATCTTACTCTAGTGGAAGAATAAAGGATATAAAAGCAGTTATATTCCAATTTGGGACAAGAACAACAAAAAATTAAGAATAAAGATAGAAGAGCATACATATCAAAGATGATGATTTTGTGTGTTAAAATAGCAAAGCTTTATAGATTCACTTTTTCATTTATAGCTCACTATTGGACTCTGCTACTATGAAGCTGTATAGTTATGAATACTCAGTTATTTATTGAAGATCCATTCGTGTCTTTGCCGCTGCTAGGGGATAGATAATTTTGCACATACACGTTAACTGTGTGCATGATAGGATTAGAATTCCATCAAGAATGAGATCTCAGAATCTTATTACAAAGAACTTAATGGAGGTTATCAGACTTCAAATTTGTCTCTTGTTTTCTTAGTCACTTGTTTAGGGACAAGCTGAGACATTTTAATCATTGGAGGCAGGTTTATGTCCTACTCATCTGAATGCAGGTGCTTGGTAAGTGTTGAAAGCTTATTCCTTGTAGCAAACTGAACTCAAAAACCTTCCTTCCTACTTCTCAAATGTGATGAATAAATGATTTGATTACTATCTTTCAATTCTAGTAAAGCTAGGAAAACTGGCTTTTACCCCTCCCCCTTCTATATAACCCTCTACCTTCCTCCCTCTCTTGCTCTTTATTTCCCCCTCTTCTAAGGCCAGAAGGGAAGTTAACTTAGGTGGAAGGAAGAAGGAATCTAAAAAACAACTTTCTGATATAAAAAAATAATAAAAAGAGAGCATATAACATTTAAGCACTGTGTGTCAACATTCTCCCGTTTACTCATGTCTCCTCAGACACAGGGGCTATCTATTGTTCCATACATGAGAAAAGCTCAGAGAGGCTATGAAACTTGTTCAAAGTCATAACTAATACATGTTTGAGCCTCTAATCCAGTCAGATCTGTCAGACTCGAAGTTAAATCCTGCCTGTAATTGATGGCCACGGCTTTATCTGAGGAAATACCTAATAAATGACTGAGTCTTTTCAGTACAAGTATTTCTAATTTTGACTTTGAATCTGGAGGTGGCTTTTACCTTAGGTCTAGTTTTTAAAACAGCAAAGTAGGAATGGAAACTTTCTGGGAATCTGAAATCACAGCAGTTTTTGAAAGACCTACTTTACTTTTCAAATAAGCAACATCGACATTAGAAATAAAATTGTAAGCCACTGGAACTTAAGGAAGAAAGAGACTGTTCTCAAAGCTTCAGGTGAAACAGGGATTCGAATTAATTTTTGAAATAAAAATTAAATGAGTGCATAGGCACCTACCCAGCCTGCATAGAGAAGCTTCTTAAAAGGCTTCTGTCATGTCTACAGTACAGTATATCCTGATGTACATATATCAAAGGACATCTGTCCATATAACCTTATTTATTTTTTTATTTTAACAAAATCCCTAACAGATGGGCTGGCTAGGAATTTCACAATGTAACATATGACCAATAATTTACTAAGGGTCACACTGCTAGTTAGTATGGTTGATTATATCAGCACACTGCACTTAGCATATAGTAGATATCAATATTTATAGAAGGAATATTGTTCAATTCTCCTTTAACTTATACCTGCACAAAGAACCAGCTAACATACTAGCATATTTGAGAATCAGCTAAGTGACATCTAATTATGCCACTGCATTGTCATGGGTTAAAGATTTAAGGTGTAGAATAGTTTGGGCTAATTAGTGGGAATATAATTTTGACCCTTCTATAGGAGAAAAAAGCCCCCGGCTGAAAGCTTTCATTGACAGGGAATATTTTGCTCTATTTTCAAATTCTATGCCACCAGAAAGGAAAATTATTATTGGCCAACTGCAGTTTTACAATAGTTTCTAGGTTTTTGACTTTAAGGAGGAAGAATATAAAGAAACAATTCTATCTAGTTCCCCTTTGCTGGGGGTGGGAGGGGGAAACTGGAGAAAGTTGGGTAATAATCTCAAGAAAGCTTACCTTCAAGTCTCTTCATCAGGTCATTCTTTGGTAAGGAAAGTACTTCCACAAATTCTAAACAAACAAACTGCAGGTGAAAACAAAGCTAAAGAACAGGAGGGCCTACCAGAACAACACAAAATGCCTGTAGCCATTACCACTACATCAAGCCATATCCATTGTCAGCCACTGGGAGTTGAATAACATACCTCCATCTCCTGAAAATAAACAGAAGGAGAAAATTTTAGCAAGGCCTGGAGTGGTAAAACATTGGAAGATTTTTGTGCAAGACAAATAAAAAAGGCTATAAAGTGCTCAGAAGGGCTGCCTAACATGCTTTCTGGCCCAGGAGCCAGAAGTAGTGGGATTGAAAGGAAAGTTAAATGCATGCTTGCATGGGACCTGCGAATCTGAAGGTAGCAGTCCCTGGACAAAATGAAAGGTGGAGGCAGAGGGTGGCTGCCTGTCAACTTTAGAGGGATGGAGGAAGGAAGGACAATATTTTCTAATTGCTTAAGATGCTGGAAACCTCACCCATCTCACTTACACCTTTTTTTGTTGTTAGTCCTCACCCGAGGATATTTTTACTATTAATCTTTAGAGAGTGAAAAGGAGGGAAAGAGAGAAAAACATTGATGTGAGAGAGACACATAGATTGGTTGCCTCCAGCATGTGCCCCAACCAGGCTGGGGATGGAACCTGCCACCTAGGTGCTTGGGCCGACACTCTAACCACTGAGCACACCAGCCAGGGCCTTCCATCTTTTCTTAACATCACTTCAATATCTATGCAATCTGCATGAGTGCTAACTCAGAACATATTGGTCTTTGAAAATAAAATGGCTATTCTATATAATAAAAGCCTAATACGCTAAGTGTCCGGTTGGCCATTCAACTGATCAAAGAGTAATATGCTAATGATATGCTAATGACGCTCAACTGCTCACTATGACGTGCACTGACCACCAGGGGGCAGGCAACTGATCGACCAGGTGCTATGATGTGCACTGACCACCAGGGGGCAGATGCTCCGACCAGTAGGTTAGCTTGCTGCTGGGGTCCGACTGATCAGGACTGAGCAAGATTGGCTGGAGACGCCCTGGAGCCCTCCCATGGCCCTCCCCGGCTGGCCAACCTCCGATGGCCCTCCTCGGCCTCTATTGTGCACGGGTGGGGTCCCTCGGCCTGGCCTGCACCCTCTTGCAATCGCAATCCGGGACCCCTTGGGGGAGCCGGTTTTGGCCTGATCATGCAGGTCAGGCTGAGGGAACCCCACTGGTGCACGAATTTGTAAGAATTCTAGTAAGAATATAATAGAAACCTGGGTCAGAAAATTTATCATTTTCACCATTTTTAAAGTTATAATTTAGTGGTTTTAAACAGATTCACATTGTTGTGCAAACATCAGGACTATCTAGCTTCAGAACTTTTTCATCATCCCAAATGGAAACCTGGTACCCATTACTAGTAAACACTAACTTCCCCATCCCTGTATCTCTATTCTGTTTCCTGTCTCTATGAATGCACTGACTCCAGGTATCTCATATTAGTGCAGTCACACAGTATTTGCCCTTCTGAGTCTGGCTTCTTTCACTTAGCACAATGTTTCCAAGGTTTATCCAAGTTGTAGCATGTATCAGCACATTTTATTCTCTTATGGTTGAATGTTATTCTATTATATGAATGTACCACATTTTGTTATCCATTCATCTGTTAATGGAACCTCAGGTTGCTTCTACCTTTAGGGTACTATGAGATGCTATACAAACATTGGTGTACACGTTATCTGTTTGAGCCCCTGCTTTCAATTTCTAGGAGTATAATTAGGTATATACCTATGAGTGTAATTGCCACATCAGTTTGCTACTTTAAAAATCAAGCATCCTATATAATAAAGAGGTAATATGCAAATTGACCATCACTCCAACACACAAGATGGCCACCCCCATGTGGACACAAGATGGCCTGCAGGGGAGGACAGTTAGGGGGGGACCCAGGCCTGCAGGGGAGGGCAGTTGGGAGCGACCAGGCCTGCAGGGGAGGACAGTTGGGGGGGACAAGGCCTGCAGGGGAGGGCAGTTGGGGGACACCAGGCCTGCAGGAGAGGGCAGTTGGAGGCAACCAGGCCGGCAGGGGAGGGCAGTTAGGGGTGACTAGGCTGTCAGGGGAGGGCAGTTGGGGGTGACCAGGCCTGCAGGGGAGGGCAGTTCAGGGGGACCTAGGCCTGCAGGGGGGGTCAGTTGGGGGGGACCCAGGCCTGCAGGGGAGGGCAGTTGGGGGCGATCAGGCCTGCAAGGGAGGACAGTTAGGTGTGACCAGGCCAGCAGGGGAGGGCAGTTAGGGGCAATTAGGCTGGCAGGGGAGTGTTTAGGGGGTGATCAGGCTGGCAGGCAGAAGTGGTTAGGGGCAATCAGGCAGGCGAGCAGTTGGGAGCCAGCAGTCCTGGATTGTGAGAGGGATGCCCGACTGCCCGTTTAGGCCCGATCCCCTGTGTTTGTAATCTAAATTCTATTGATTTAGTCCCACAGGGATCGGGCCTAAATGGGTAGTCGGACATGCCTCGAGGGGTCCCAGATTGGAGAGGGTGCAGGCTGGGCTGAGGGACACCCCCCTACCCGTGCACGAATTTCATGCACCGGGCCTCTAGTTTAAAATAAGCTGTAATGGGATACCAAAACATTTAGGAACAACTAAAGGATGGGAAATGGAAGATATTGCTCTCATACAGGATTTCTTGTGGTGTATGTATGATCACCTTGTTTAAGGGGGTGGTGAGGAACTGAGAGAGGCATTAAAGCTTCTAATTCCAAACTTGCAAAGAAATAACGAGCAAAGAATTTATTAAAAGCTTTTCTAAATAATGGAACTCAATAAGAAGAGTTAAGCTGCTGTTCTGTAATAATTACTTATGCCATTCCTATAAATATGAAGACAGAAATCAGTGATTTTGATGATCTTCACTGTTTACTATTTAGCTTCATACAGAAAATATGGAAATGTGTAATTTAACATTTTATATGAAGAAACCATAAAAATCAAATAAGAGGTAAAAGAAAAATGCTAAAATACACAAGATTATGAAAATAGCCAGGAGTACTAATGAAGCTTCTGCAAAAGACAATTATTCTTTTTACCAATCAAAAATCAATCTAGTAACTTAGAAGTTAAAAGATATTTAATGGAGTTCATCTACCTTCAACGTAGCTCACTTACCTGGATTTGGCTTGGGTCTTACATTTTCAGCCTCATCTCCATTAATGGTTACTGTCACGATGTGTGTGGTACAGTTTGACAAACCTGGATCCATACATGTAGCTATGGAGAGAAGCAGCAGGTATTCTTTACAGACACCAGTCAGATGTCATGTTTCATGACTTAAATGTCTTCGGAAGAAGACTGGTCTCATAATTCCTTTAACACAGAATCGATGCAGGAAAACTAGTTTATTCTAGTCAGTATATGCTGTAGGACTGTAGAGCATATAAGTAGTCAGTACTCACATTTTCCCCCGAGTTCCTGAGTAACATTTGGTAAGTCTGAGGGGTTAGATGGTACTACTAACATGTTGTAAATCCTTTTAATACATGAAGAAAAAAACCTCTAAAGGAGCATAGCATGTGCATAAGGTGTGTATATAATAAAGCTCAGATGTGAGGAACTCTGGAAGGCAACACAATTTCCTAATTCTTCTCTAGTTTCAGGGCCTTCCTGTTCAAACTTCCTCTCCTTTGGAGGAGACAGGAAGTTTATGTGCCCAAATCTAATTAGGATTTCTCTTCAGTCAATTAGGTGAAATAAAAGTTATCTGAATTCTGCCCATAAAGAACACCCAAAGAATCAATCCTTTTATATACAGAAGAATCTACTGCTTGGCTAACAGTTTGTCCCCAGTGCACCCCTGGAAAACAATACAAACCTGGAGAACATTCAGCAACATCACCTTTATAGCCAGTTTCTTCTTCCAGCTCTCGCAGAGCAGCTGCTTCTGGGCTTTCATTATCATCTATGAGACCTGGAAGTCCAAATCATTTGTGAGGTGGGAGACGGAAGTCCACTTTTCTTTGAGCCTCTCCTAACACAGCTGCTGCTGAGCTACGTGAGAAGAATCAGAGGATTGTGAAAAGTGGTCTTACAGATAAAGCTGAGGTTTGGAACTATTTTAGGAAAAAAAACCCTAGGCAGATTAAGTTGGTTCTGACAGTCCTCATCTATTCTCTTACTTAGACCAAGCATCTCAGCACTAACTATGTTCTCTACAGCATAGGCAGCATCGATCTGTGAGGACAAGTGGCTTGGTGGTGCTGACTGGTCCAGGTTTTGGACCTAGCTATGTGACTACAGCACAGGAAGCTTGTTAACTTTGTTTCCTCTTATGTAAGATGGGGACAGTTGTTACCTACCCCACCTTCTCCCTCACAGAACATATGGAGACCCTGTAGTGAAATGCCAAGATGAAGATCACTTCTGAGGGAGAAGGGCAGAAAGGACAGAACTAAAGGATGGTGGACTTTAGGTAACTACTATGGTCATTGTGAGAAGTGGAGAGAAGTCAAATGGGAGGAGGACAGTAGCAAATCTGAGTCATTTTCCTGAAAGGAATAAAAATTGTAAAAAGAAAGGTGAAATATAGGCTATTTTATTAGTTTCCTTAGTGAAATGGCAAGTAAATGAGAAAGAAAATAAAGTTGTTAATTATACATTACAGAATGCAATGGTGTTTAAAAATATAAAACTTAAACCACTAATGATAAATGCGATCTAATCTCTTCTGATGGAACAAACCAATTAAATCCTATAATAATACAGTGCATACATTCTAGATAGCTTAACTTACTGTACAACTGAAAAAATATTTTAGTGGAAATTAAAACAATTTATTTGTCCTACATACATGCAGGAAGGTCAAGATATCTTTTCCATTCATAGTTTTTGGAATTTGGCCTAGTTATTACTATAAATTTCTTTTTTTTTTTAAATATATTTTTTTATTGCTTAAATTATTACAAAGAGTATTACATAATAAATTTCTTGTCAGAGGCAGATTGCTAGTGATAGAAGATGGAGTAAATTGACAAATTAGCGAAAAGCAATTACTCAAAGAGGCTAGAAAGAATGAGGGAAAGGAGGGCAGGTGGCTGGGAAAGGGGAGCTGTGACACCACCTTTCTATCACCTTATGGGTTATTGGCCCAGGAGAGTGTGGCTGGAGGTACTTCACTACAGAAAAGGTTTTATTGAACTTAGAAGCCCAGGGACAGATACAAAGGTGTTAAATGTCTAAACGCTGCAGTACTCAGGCTCTGCCCTGGCTCTGTCCGACAAGTCCCTAGAAGCAGTGTGTAGTGACTCACCTGCAGGGAATTCCAGGCAGTAGCTTCCCATGGGTGGACGGAACTGTTTCACCAGAATGATACATTCATAATGCAGAGTTCTTTGCAGTACTGGGATAATCATCACACCTGTCGCCAGGAAATAAAACGAAGTCTCTAATGAAAGGTCAGTCATGCTAGCAATCTGTTTACAGCAATCTAACTAAAACCCCATATTTTAAGAGATGCTGCAGCTGAAATCTACCTTATTTTCGCCACTAGCAATAGGAGTTAAAAGCTACAGTACTGGCAGTGAACTTGGAAGTTATTCTCACTTAGAAATGTAATTATAGAGTCTCCCTGGCTGGTGTGCTAAGTGGTTAGAGCATTGGCCCATCCATTGAAGAGTCACAGGTTTGATCCCTGGTCAGGGCAGATACGCAGGTTGTGGGTTCAAGCTGCGGTTAGGGCAGGTGTGTGAGGCAACTGATCAAGTTTCTCACTCACATTGATATTTCTCTCTCCTTTTCCCTTCCTCTCTCTCGATTCAATGAAAAAACATATCCTTGGGTGAGGATTTTAAAAAATGTAATTAAAGAACAAGCAATCACACTTCCATGTTGTTTATAAATCAAGTGAGTTACTTGGCCTTACAACAAAAACAAAACCCCACTGGGTTCTAGAAAACACAAACTGCCCAGGAGAAGTACCCCCGCCCGCCAATACTTTCCCAGCTGGGAAAAACAGCATCATGCAATTACTCTGTTTGCTCCCAATAAAAAACAGAACAGAAGGGAAAAATAAGAAAGACGTATTCTCCAACTTCCCCTAGACCAGAGGTGAATTTCAGGATTGTTTCTGGGACCTTTGCAGTCAAACCATTCACTCTTGGGAGGGTAGGTAAACTGAATGAATAGTTGTTTCTTAATCCCATTTCCTTATCCTATATAATAAAAACCTAATATGCTAAGTGTCCGGTCAGCTGTTCAACCAATCAAAGCATAATATGCTAATAATATGCTAAGGCTGCACTGACCACCAGGGGGCAGACAGTTGACCGGTCGACCAGTTGCTATGATGTGCACTGACCACCATGATGTGCACTGACCACCAGTGGGCAGACAGTCAACCAGTTGCTATGACGTGCACTGACCAACAGGGGGTTAGCTTGCTGCTGGAGTCCGGCCAATCGGGACTGAGCAAGACAGGCCACACATGCCCTGGAGCCCTCCAGCGGTCCCGCCCTGGCTGGCCAACCTCCCGTGTCCCTCTCCAGCCTCTATTGTGCACCAGTGGGGGTCCCTTGGCCTGGCCTGCATCCTCTCGCAATCTGGGACTCCTCGGGGGATGTCGGAAGCTGGTTTTGGCCCGATCTTGCAGGCCAGGCCAAGGGAACCCCACTGGTGCACGAATTCATGCACCGGGCCTCTAGTCAACTGGCTAAAAGTGTGAAGTAGTGCAAATAAGTTTTCCATACTAAAGGCTCTCACCTAGATCCTTTGAACAGAATACAAAGGATTTCTATGAGTCGTATCATGTCTAGACACAGTATGTTGCTTTAAATTCTATTGATTTGTGTCTGGCTATAAATATTAGTGTACATCTTTCCCTCAAAAACACTGTTTGGAGCTTAGATAACAGGAGCCAGAAGTTATTTATAAAGAAAGCTCGACTTAGTTACACAGCATTGCAAAAACAAATATTAGATTTAAAGATAAAAGATCATAATTGAAGGTAACTCTGCCCTGAGATCTTGGTGACAGTAAAAAAAACCCAAACCAAAACAAAACACAATCCTCCTGCACCTCGCCTACTACAATAATGTGTGGTAACTTCTCTTAGGAAGAGTTATAATAGGTTTGCACTCATACCATCAGCCGACTGTCCTTTCCTGGTTGCACGTTTCACAGTTTCCCAAGTTCTGTTTAGGCAAAGAAGAAAAAACAAAATGATCAGTGCCAAAGAGAATACTCTTAGGTTTTTGTGTGTACAGCAAGAATTTTACAAATGCAGAGCATGCAAATGTACAAATGGTCAACAAGACCAAGCAGTAAAGATCTGTATTTCTTTAAAAAGCCAGTTGTGCTGTCTTACAGCTTTTGAGAAGGACCAAAGAAAACCTGCCACTGAACATTTAGCTCTCTGGGTGCTGTCACTTGAGCTGCCTTTCAAGTCAATACTCAAAAAACTTTAGTTTGGATCATAAATCTACAGGGGATCAGTACAGTGGCTGACAATGGCTTTCGAAGCTGTTAAGCAGTGTGTGTGTGCACAATAAGCCCCTATGAAAAAAGGATACGCTGCATAATGAGAACTACTGAGTTGGATATTTATACAATTTAGATTTTAAAATCTGTGACCTAAAATACACAATTTAAGAAAGCAAGACCTTTCCATTTATTAACTGAGGAATCCTTAAATTTAGGAGAGTGCTCTATTGTATGTGTGTGACATCTTATCTCAGAGGAAAATGTCCCTAGAGGAGAATGAGGTAACAGCAGGTTCTTGCTCCTGTTTAAGGCTTTGTTCCTAATTAGCTATGTGTTTCAGGAGAACACTGTACTGAAAATCCAGTTATTGGAACAATTATGTTGTTTACAGGGGGAAGGGCATATGAGAGAAATTCTCCCTTCATTCTCATTCCTTAAATAAGAAAAAGCAGTGGTAAGAGATGGGAGTGAAGAAGGACATGATTTTGGATCTAAGAGAAGACCCCTGAGTGGCTCTGGGAATTGGGATAAGAAAGGCATCAACGATGTCTCACTACAGTAACAGTGAGTATAAGTTTTGTTGCTTGGAGCAAGCCGAGCAAGCCTCATACTTTGTGTCTGGTTTGAGGTTTGGATCATGCCACACTTATATTTTGAAAAAAATTCAGATATTTAATCTAGTTAAAAAAACACACAACTTTCTGTAAACTAGATCTTTCAGTATTGTATCCAAATTTTACAGGGCAAATATGTTAAAATGAACCTATGAAAATCAAAGACGACTATGACAACTCACAGCTGTCCAACATTCCTGTTAGTAACAAGAAGCCAACCAACAAGCAATTCTGATGTCAGTAATACAGATTGCAAGAGACATAACACCTTTTGGTATAGCTCTCTCTGCTGCCTCTTAAGATTAGTCCTAAGGACTGAAGAAGACAGTGCTGGGAAAAGCACTGAAGGTCCCATCCCAAATACACTAGGAACAAGGGAAAAAGAGTAACATCATTATAATGGTTAAGATGAGATAAATAAGCAGTAATAAGCCATCAATTATAAGCAATAAAATATAAGTGCATTTATAACAAACAATAGAACAAGAATGCCCCATGAGGGCTCTAATTATCTTAAAGGGACTCTGAGATATGTACATTGGGTTGAGTAAGAAAATCTTAAGTCTCTAATTACCTACTAGCTAACCCATAGCCACAACCTCCTTGAGAGTTTTCTCATTTGTAAAGCTAGGGAATTAAGAGCATGTTACCTCGTAAACCTCTTGTAGCTTTAGATTCTAATTAAAGTTACTCCATTTTTTAGCTTCTGTTATAGGAAAGCCCATTTTGTTTTCTTCTCTCTAGTCAACCAACATTAAGAGGATGACTTCAATTCTGTCCTGAATGCCAACAAAAGGGCATAATGACAGCATACTTTTATACTTCTAAAATTAATTCCATAGCCTCTTCCATGAATCAGACACTAAAACCAAGGATTCTATAGCTGCTATTTTATCCTCATGAACATGCTTTTATATCAGGTAACAGATAAAACATTTTATAAATTTATAAATTGAGGCCTACTGCAAAGTACAGCACTTCATTCTCCCAAGCTTCACATTCTGTATGAAATGCCAGTGCTTCACGAAGACCTCTTGGAGGCCACAAGGAAGACCTATGTGAGGAAGACTGAGGTGAACATGCTCTAAGTAGGCCATGTAAGCATGGCAGTTGGTAGACTTTAGAGCCTGCTCCCAAACTACTGAAGGAGACTCTCCTTAGTCACTGAGAACTAAAGAGTATTTTGAAAATAATCCCTGAATGATGGATGCATATCCCCAGTTATAATGCTGGAAGGAAGAGTGAGGTGAAGAAACTAGCTGTTGCAAACGAACACATGCTTCTTAGTTAACTGGTGTGAAGGGTTTTAGTTGGTGTTATAAACTTAACTTTATAGGGAAGAGAACCAAACAATATCACTATAAATTGGGGTCTAATCTTTGTCTATAGTTTCATAAATATAAGTACATTGGAACATATTGTGCTCCTTATGGTTTTAGGCCTTGCCACATTTCTGAATCATCTATTTTATTCATATTTAGTTCTATACATCAAACTCACTTTACATAATAGGTAATATACTCTCTGACTGTGTTGTTGGATTGTAGTGTGCTTAGTTTTCTTTAGGGTTTTAATTTAACAGTGCTACTTATTTCTCCAACATTGGGCCTTATTAATATTTTTGCTAGTTTAATAGATATAATCAAAAGTTGTTTAAATTACTGGCAAGTCCATGTACTTTTGCACTGATGATAGATGTATTTCCTCACAAAGAAGCTGTATTCTTATTTGATCACTTAAATGGAGTTTTTAAAATTTTTAAATTCATTTTTAGAGAGAAAGGAAAGGAGAGGGAGAGAGAGAACAAAACATCAATCAGCTGCCTCCTGAACAATCTCTACCCAGGATTGAGCTTGCTACTCAGGCTTGTGCCCTGACCGGGAATCAAACCAGCAACCGTTACAGTGCCCAGGACGATGCCCAACTAACTGAGCCAAGTCAGCCTGGACTTAAATGGAGATTTTACACTAATAAATTTAAATCATATAATCTAGATACTAAATTTAGTTACATTTTTGTATTTTCTCATTGTTTTATTCCTTTTTGTATTTCACTAAGTAAATGCTTAATCTATTTAATACATTTTTCCTGATGCTTATAAAAAGTTACTAAACAGAAAATCTGAAAAAGAAAAAAGGTTAATCATACAGCTGCCCTATATATTTTCCTACTAGCTTTTTTTTTAAAAAAATGATTTTTTATTGATTTTTTTTGAGAGAGGAGGGAGAGGGAAAGAGATAAACATCAATGTGAGAGTAGAACATTGATTGGCTGCCTTCTGCAAGCCCACTACTGGGGATCGTGCCTACAACCCAGGCATGTGGCCTGACTGGGAATCTAACCGTGACCTCCTGGTTCATCGGTCGATGCTCAACCACTGAGACATGCTGGCCAGTACTCTAGCTTTTTCTTACACGTTATTTGGCAGAGTTTAAAAAGTATATATACAATTTTCTTTTTTGTTACCGTTACTAATTTTTTCTCATATTGCTGGGTTGTCTTCATAATCTGCTTTGTGGATGGATGCATAAATTTTACCAAATCAATACACTAAAATAATTATTCCCCATATATTTAGAATGTTTAGGTTGCTTTCAATTTTTTTTTTAAAGTTTTGATGAACATCTTTTAGGCATAAAACTGATTCCAAATAGTTTTCTTAGCACAGTCTCAGACCCCATGGTGACCTGGCTCCAAACAGCTCCGCCCCAACCATATCTTTATGGCAATTGATACATATTGTGAAATGCTTTATAAAACATTTTCTTTTCCAATTTACATTTCCATGAGCAAGGTTTACTAGTAAGCATGTAACTTTTACCTCAAACACAATGTTTCCTCTTTAATTCTTATTTAGAGGTTAGAATTGGTTTAATTAGAAGGAACCTGTATTGTTAACTATTTTGCTGCTTTATCAGCTTAAATTAGCCTTGTCCCAAAAGTTTTAGGTTCACACTAATCTACTTGGGGAGAATGGTGTTAAAATAACTTCCTGACTAGTTATTGTAACAAATTTACAAATTTATAAATATGCATAGATTGTAAGTTATTCAAACATTCTAACAATAAGAAAACAGCTAAATTAGATTTCTCTATAACACAGAATTTCCAATGAAGAAAATATCAAAGTTTATGCCAAATACTAAATAGAGAATTTGAGAACCCCCAATACCAAGCATTTTACAAAAGAAAAAATATAGTTTACCTCGTTTTACCAGTAGGATCCATGTAAGTTGTTTTTTCAAACTTGACCCATTTTCCTTCTGCAATTAACTAAAAGGAGATGAGACGACAGATGAATTGGGAAGCTTTCAAACTGAGTTTTTTATTTAGAAGAGTTTTCTTTTCACATTGTCTCTGTATGGCCTTCCCAATTATCACACTTCCCTTCCAATAATTCATGTGCATGTTTTCAGTTGAGTATATTAAACATTGTTTTCCTGAAGGGTGGTTCTATTTCTATTTGGAGTTTCGGAGGTAGTACTGAGAGGTGAAAAGAAATGAGTTGAAAACTCTTGGGGTTTGGGTGGGGAGGGAAGACCAGAAGGGAGCAAAAAGGAATGAGGGCTTCTTTGGGATGCTTCTCTTATTCTGGCCTCTGATCTGGGTGCTGGTCACATAGGTGTATATGTTTAGTATGTGAACACATCAGTGGCATTTTACTTTCAATGACATACAACAAGCATGTCAAACTCAAAGGCTAACATGGGCTGCAAAAAACCAAAAGCTTCAATTTTCACAGAAACGTAGATTTATTTCGATAGAGACATGCTGAATACAAAGGGCTGAAATAAATGAGTAATCATTAACATAAAATAATAGAACATTTTAATAAAAATTATTTTTTCTTGAACATTAACTTACCAGACACTGAATAACTGCACAAATTAATAAGTGTAACGCAAATAAACCTATTTTTCTTGTTCTCTGAAAGCGAAATATTTCCCGTTTCGCACACCAAACAAGTCAGTCCAATGACGTGGCAATCGGCTGCTAAAATATTCGCTGCTAGTATTAGTGGAGAGAAATGGTGCACCTGCGCGTAAGGTGTGTAAGGGAAATGAATGCAACATGATTACAGTAATCAGTCATTAGCGAACGTTGTAGCTTGTTATTAACAATTATGTATAACAGGATACTGTAAGGATTAAGTTACGAAATTTTTATTAAAATGTTTCTTACATACCGTTATATTGGCTGGGCTGCAAAAATATTTATTGTGGGCAGCGAGTCTGACATGCTTGCTATACAACAAAGTTGACTGTGGGGAAACCATGTCCAATGACTGGATTTCTAATAACGACGCACGGATTTCCCACCCAGTCTGAGTGGCACCCTCAGCATGGTTCTGCCTAGATGTTGAGTTTAGGTTCCCAGGACTAATTACCCATGGCACTGTGTACATAAAGCCGTTTATAGGCTTCTGACTATGCTCTCTTTCACTTTGTTCTTTAATCCTCACCCAAGGATATGTTTGTTGATTTTAGAGAGAGGAAGGGGGAGAGATCCATTAATGTGAGAGAGAAACATCATTGGTTGCCTCCTTTATGCCTCCTGACCAGGAATAAAACCCACAACCTTTTTGGTGTACAGGACAACACTCAACCAACTGAGCGCCCGGAAGGCCCGTCTTTCACTTCTTACCAGAAACAACCTACCAATTACCAGAAGATCTAGTCACAAATAACATGGAGAAATTTTTATTTATTTATTTATTTATTTATTTATTTATTTATTTATTTATTTAACAGGAAAATAGTCAGATTTTTATTTTCAAATGTTATTTGCAAATACACAATTACAATAATGTCACACATCCCTATATGATTTTCTTTTTATGTATTTTAACTTTTTCTAAATAAAGTGTTCAGGAGGAGGGCTATAACAACATTTAATAGGATAGTTCTATAGAATAACAACTTATATCAAGTCCTTGTAAAAATCTGACCTCTTTAAAACATTTAACTGAAACATTCATTTTTTAGCTTTGCTAATCAAAATTGTTTTAAGAATTAAAACTAGGATGTAACTAATGTCAGTATATAATAGTGACTACAAATTCATTTTTTCTTTATACAAATATATTTTATTATATTCACTTGACCAAACCCTTAAGCAGCGGTTCTCAACCTGTGGGTTGCGACCCCTTTGGCAGTCGAACGACCCACCCTTTCACAGGGGTCACCTAAGACCATCCTGCATATCAGATATTTACATTACGATTCATAACAATAGCAACATTACAATTATGCAGTAGCAATGAAAATAATTTTATGGTCGGGTCACAACATGAGGAACTGTATTTAAAGGGCCAGGAGGTTGAGAACCACTGCTTAAGTGCCTTTTAAAAGTTTCAATATTTTGCTTCAAAAAGAAAAGAACTGTGTATGGTTCCAGACTATGTAAGAGAAATATAAAGTGTGTAAAGATAAAGACAAAGTGTTCTTTATCTTTCAGTATATTTAAAAAAATATAATTAGATGACCAATTATATTGTTTGAATTAATTTTACAGGCTGTCTTAAAATTAATAAATTTCCACTTTTACTTAAGTGTTTTGCATTGCCTTTGGGAAAAATAAAGAAATAAGGGAGATTTAAAATGTTTGTATTGATTTTAGAGAGAGAAAAGAAGAGGGAGGGAGAGGGGGAGAGAGAGAGAGAAAAAACATTGGTTGCCTCAGGTACACACCTCGAACAGGGACTGAACCCGAAACCTGGGCATGTGTTCTGATTGCGAATGAACCAGTGACCTTTTGGTGCACAGGATGAAGCTCAACCAACTGAGCCACACCAGCCAGGACAAAAAAAATAAGGGAGATTTTTAAAGGTTCTCACAAAAATACCAGAGCTTTCAAGGATAGTACTACAGGGCAATGAATCAAACAATTTTAAATTACTTTTTTTTTAAAGCATGTTATGGAGGCCAAGAGGGCACAGGAGCTCCCACTGGGACTGGCCCATGCTTTGGTTTTGACTGGCATTCAATTTGGAGTTCATACCAGCTTAGAGTACTTGATTTAAAACTGGACTAATTCAGCACTCAGAGGCTTGCCAAACATGCACTATTTCTATTTCTAACCCCATACATACTTGAATACAGATATTAACAGCAAAGAGAAGGATGAAAGTTAAAAACCTAAAAGCATAGGGAGGATGGAACACCATAATGGAGTGGCAAGGCAGCTATCAAATGGAAAGAAAAGTCTTATATCTCCCACAATGTGCAGGTAATCCTGTTCTGACAGCCAATTTAAGCACCCCAAAAACTATCTTCTGGTCTCAGAAATTTATCTTAACATAATCAAATTCTAATGAATTGTGTCCATTTTATGAATTTATAACTGAGTCAGAACTATTTGTTTTAAAAAAGTCAACTCAAAGAAAAACAAAACAGTGAAAGACTTTGGGATGTTCACAGTAAGGCCTTAAATTCTACTCATGCCCTTAAACATACCTTTATCTTATGTTCCAATCAAAGCCAGCTTGCGTGTTAACTTTTTGAAAGTCTAATTATTACTAAGAAATAACAAAGTAAACTGAGCTTGCCAAGTGTAAATCATAATTAGCACTCGATCTCCGTGGAGCTGTTGCTTCCTTAGTTTTCCTAGCTTTGTGACACAGAGTTCTCTCAGGGGCTTCTCAGAAATGAGGAAGGTCTGTCTGATACTCCTTAACTTTTCAGAATAATATAAAGGCTTGGAGCTGAAGTTATATGAAAACATTCTATCTAGAAACATCTTAACTGCTATTTTTCAGTTACCAAAGATACTTAAAATACTTTTACACTTTAAAAATACCAATGTCCTCATTTTCTTTTTAAATATACTTTATTGATTTTTTACAGAGAGGAAGGGAGAGGGATAGAGAGTTAGAAACATCAATGAGAGAGAAACATTGATCAGCTGCCTCCTGCACACCCCCCACTGGGGATGTGCCCGCAACCAAGGTACATGCCCTTGACCGGAATCGAACCTGGGACCTTTCCGTCTGCAGGCCGATGCTCTATCCACTGAGCCAAACTGGTTAGGGCAAGTGTCCTTATTTTCCTTTTAATTCTTCACCTGAGTAGTCAGTCTCTCTGAAGAGCATTATTTACAAAATGTCCTTATAAATCCCTGCATCTTTGATGTTATTGTTAATTTAATACTTTTCATTATAGATTTTAAACAACTACTACTTGGAGTTGTGTGTATAAATATGTAAAATAAGCAATACACACAGATACATATAATACATATATAATTCATGGTACATTTATATATATATATATATATATATATATATATATATATATATAATTACGATTTACACTTGGCAAGTTCAGTTTACTCTGTTATTTCTTAGTATTAATTAGGAGA